GACTAATTGGTACAGGTGTGGCGCACAGCGAGGCACAGTTGTGCCGAGGTCGGCTGTTGTTTTGTTTGTTGTAATTTAAGAAATAAATTAACTGGTATATCCAACTTTAAGTTTAGACTTTGGACAGTTTTTTTTTTACACATAAGGACAATAAGCAGGCAATCAAGCCAGCAACGAGCACGAGTACTGCACATACCAAACGGTGCGTCAACAACTAGCTCATCCAAAGAGCGCGCAACACACTGTGACGCAGGACGTTAACCGCCCACGGGTGAAATACCGTTTTTAGGGACTCTCGGGTATAATCATGCTTCTCATCACACTATCCTTACATAAAGAGTGAGCCACAACAAAGCAAACCGGCTACCAGCTGACATGGAAAGGATACACGTTTTATTCAGCCACTTGCTGCTCCTCCGTTTGGGTGACTTGCAGGGGAGAGGAAGTTGTTTTCTTCATTTCCATACCGTGTGTTCCCCCTGGTGACCAGTTGTGGATGTTGCTGCCAAGAAGAACCATAAAACAAAAAACAAAAAAACAAAAAACACACAACTTGCTTATCATGCCACATTTTATAGCTTGAAACAAGTAGAGCATTTAGGCACAGTCAATGGGAAAAACATGCTTCACAAATTCAAACATGTTACCTGTATTTGTGTGGAGTGTTTGCTGTATTAGTTCATAGATACATTATAATCAACATAAGGATTGCACAAAACAAAATAATTAAGTAAATGCCCTGATGCTTTATATTTACAGGGGTGCTTTACAGTATTTTGCCATTTCACATTTCTATTCATTTACTGATTGAGTTGTTCCTCAGTGCTCTAATAATGAGAGTAGGGTACAGTTGTGTATTCGTTTTGTTGTTTATAGATTGTCCACTCCGCTAAATGGAAAAATATATTATGAACACCATTTAATGTAATGCGGCAACAGCACCATAAAATACAGCCCCAGAAATGAGAGTGAAGTCAACACCTCTCTATTCATATTTCAGAAAGACTGTATTTAATGAAGGGCTGCTTCATCGGGCTGCAGAAGAAGAGTTACTATTCTTCACTTAGTGTGTGTGTGTGTGTGTGTGTGTGTGTGTGTTCTTTTGCTAACAGTGCTTTTCAACCTTTTTGGCTTGTGAACTCCTCATCACAGATTTGGCTTTGGCGTGGACACAAGTTGTGCGCAGCCCAACTAAAAACAGATTTTTACTTCTCAGATTGTTTAATTTTAAGTATTTTGAGAGGTTTCAGGTATCCAGCATTTCACAAGAAAATAACAAAACATATAAATTACCATACACTAATATCAAAAACTCTCTAATATCTCTAATATTTGCACTCTACAGCCCTGACATAAGTTCTGAGTTTAACATGAGTTGCCTACCTATGAGTCTGATCAGTTGTTTTTTTAGTTGTTCTTAATGTAGGCCACTTACACAGAAACAGACACAACTGGTTTTATAACAACTAGTTGCTAATCGTGGTCAGATAGTGTGATGTGAAGGAATATGTGCAGTTTTAAGAATTTAAACCCTTAAACATGTGTGGAAAACACCTTACAGTTCCATTCTGGCACAGCTGTAGGATTTGTTCTCTCAGATTACATCACCATACAGTCAGTGTGTGAGCTGCTCAGCCTAAGGACACAGCTTAATAATGAGAATTGTATATTTTCGGGTGGATTCCCCCTTATAACTGACGCAGAAAAATCAGCAGGCGAGCCTGCATGCTCAGCCCCTCGCCACCAGATGTCTCTGTTCACTAAGCCACAGCGAGGACGCCATGAGTAAAGTCAGTGATAAATACCCGCAGAAACAGGGCTTGGTTCTGTCAGACTTCATCCACAGAAAATCCCAGGCTGCTATTGGAGAGCCCGTCGGCAGGACGCAGACGCAGGAGATATCGCAGGAGGGCTCCGACGAACGCGCAGTGCCCATCACTTCAGCTGATGTAACCAGACAGCTTATGTTGGAGTCAGTTTATTTTACAATAGCAACTTCGTCATAAAAAAAGAGAGGAAAGAAGGCTAAAAAAAAGAAAAGAAAATGGGACATACCGCAATACCTATATTGATGGCTGTATTGTCCTGCTGCGTGTGGGAAAACGTCGAGGTAAGAGCAACACAATCTTGATCATTCCTAACGATGGCGCATTGCAATTGTACTGTCTTTCAGGCTGAGTGTCGAGGTTGATTCTTGGACAAAAGGCTGTATTTGACTTCATGTCGACATTACACATGCCACGCACACAGTTGCCTCTATCTCCATATTGCTGACACGCACCCTTATCTGGGGCAGGTTTTAATTTGTAAATGCATCCTCGAGCACCGTCCTATGTCAACAAGAGTAATGACACACAGCATCCACAAAAAAAAAAAAAAAAAAAATCCCCGTGATGGGGGAAAAAGGATTTGCGATGCAAATGCTGTGATGAGATACGAATGGAGGCTCACACTCGCAGTGCATACATATAAGAGGCTTCATAAAGATGTGCTTTTACAGTATATTAGGCTCGCTGCGTCAAGTCTGGGCCTGTATGAAAAATGTTCCATAGGCCTTTGTTTTGTTTTTTTTAATCTGTTGAAGGATGGACATCAGATCCCATCTCGTTGCATCCCATCTGGCCTTGTCAGAGGAAGAAATCAGCTTGCATCCGTCCTTTTTTAGAGGAGTGGTGCAGCTCTTGAGCAGGATGGAGTCATGCATATTCAATTGCTGCTCTGTTGTACATTTGGTCTTCGTGAAAGAACTGTGAACAGATTAGAAAACTCCCAGTTTCTCACAGGGTAGTCATTTCCCACTATTATTAATTAGTCTTCCTCCCTACACCTCTGTTTTTGAATGCGTTGCCTTGAAAATGCGTGTGAATAAACTGTTCATCCAAGAGGGCATGACTTTGATATATCATTGGACATGCAGTGCGTGAGTGTGATACAGAGTGTACAAACGAGGGATACGGGGTCATCCTATTGGCATCTGTCTCTATCAATAGGTAGAGAGGAGATGGTGAAAGTCTGTTGTACAGAGCGGCAGATCAATGGGCCACCAGCTGCTCCCATCTTCCCTCTTCTCTCATCACGACTTCCAGCAGACATACAGTTTGATGGACTCGACCTTTATTTCTCAATAACTTTTCAGTCATCCATCATCTTCCTCCCCCCTGTTTTAGAACTCAGGCATGAATTCTGGTTGGAGCGTGGGGCGCTTTGTGGTGTAGCAGCAGGGGTGGTGTTGGAGGTGCATGTGGAGGGGGTTTTGGAGGGGGGAGGAAAGGGGGAGGAGGGAGGATGAGTCATGATGTCCCAGCTGGAGCTGTGGCTCAGGTCAAACGTACTTTTCCACCTGGAAATGAACGAATGAACCTGCTCCGGATGTACTGTCTCAGCTCGAATATATCACCCCGTGTGTTGGTTCAGAGTCTCCCCAGTAAGAGGATTTGTGAGATGTTTATTTATTAGCCATCTTCCACTATGAGTCTGTAACAGTCATAAAGCCTCTCCTTTCATTCTGAAATAATTTCACTTCTCTAAGAGCCTTAGTGGGATTACTGCTATACTGAGGAACAGGCTTTAGCTTCATACAAGGAGACCTGCCCATGAAGGTTTATGCTGAAGATTACGCTGTGAGAGGGTTGGCTGGCTGGATTACACTGTGGTATTAGTCCTAATAAAACTGTCAGCTTCCCTTAATTTACTCAACATTCATTCAGCTGAAATCTGTGAATTGGACAAATTTGTTTTGATTTCTTTTTTATAGTGTAATATTTAAATGTGTTAGTGCATTGGGATAATGTCTGATCAAAATATAATCACACTTGTAAATTTAATTTCCAGACAGTCTCCCGGATTAGTAAAGCCTCAGTCATTTTTCAGCTGAAATACAAATTCAGCATCATACCGTGTTGTGATTTGACACATTGATGCCAGGTTGTCACATATGTCAAGTTGAGTAATGGCTTCCCAGGTATCTCAGCTGCAATAGCGCTTACCTGTTGCAGCATCAAAGCATTTAGCTAATTGACACACTGAACAAAAGGTCATGCATGAACAGATAAAAACCACCACCTTCACGGACGGATTGTAAACTCGTATCATGTAGTCTGACATTCATGGATGAGAAGAAGTTATTTTCAATTTGTTGGGTTTGGCGTGTCAGTAGCCTTCATGTGGGTTATCTGTGCACTTTCATCTTTGATACATACCGTATCGTAATACTGTGAGATGATATAAATCTGTCAGCTGTCAGAGAGTTTGCCATGCCCTTTATACCACATTAGCTATCCCTTGAACACCTTTGAGCCGTGTAGGTCATTGTTGCAAATCAATGAGCAGGACTGCTTTATGGCAGTATAAGAGTCTTGCATGAAAGTGATGAAGCACTTTGATTTGTCAGGTATTTAATTCGATGGGTTTGTAAAAGAAAAAGGAAATTGTAGTTATTTTTTTTCCATGGACAATTTCTCAACTGAATTTTATTATATCACAATACAGTAGTAGTTATTTTTACTTTTACTTTTACCAGTCAACCTTTAGTTTTTCCCTTAAAAAGGTTATTGAAATGACTACTTAATTATAATAATCGCTGGCAATTATTTCTCTGTTGATTGACTAATTGCTTAATCAACTAATATTTTCATTTCTTATTATGATGTGAACTTACATATACCACTCAAGAGGGTTTTATTCCTATCGTGATGTAGTTAATCATTCTCATTCAAATGAATGGTCCTGGTTAACACAGGGAATTCTAAATCTAGCAAATCCAAATACCTTGTCACATGGACACAACATTTATTTAAAAGAACATCTAATATTGTCATTTAACATTCATGATCATTTATTTGCAACATTGTCTGCAATGATCTTTTACAATCAGAGATATTAAAGAAGCAGCAACTACTACTGTTCAACAAAATATCTAACAATTGACAAATTGATTTAATCCTGTAGTATTATCGTCATACCAGCCAGGCCTGCT